TTAACCAATAAAAACAACCCACATAAACCAGCACAGCTTTAACAGGACCATCTGTTTCCCTGCACAGTGCTCCTCTAAGCTGAGTCTGTGGAGGTGGTACTGGATGTGTAGGAGGCTGTAACTAGTTACCTAGTACCTGCAGACAGTAGTGGAGGTGTGCTGGTGCCTTACCTTGCAGCTGCTGTCATTGTAACAGTACCATTTCCCATTGGGGTTTTTGGCATATGTCACATAGTGGCCTCCTCCCAATATTCCTGAATGGCACTGGAGAGATGAAGCAGAACAACATTCAGGACTTGTCTGACTGTTCTCCCCGCCCGTATGCCAGCGTGCCCAAAGCGCCTGACTTACTGATATTGCATAGAGGTTGTATATGGCATCCAGACACATGTTGTCTCTGTGCTGCAGCAGAGAGCCGTCCGGCTCCGTGCTGCTCTCTGTGCTGCAGTCGGAGCACAGCCCGTTGCTGTCTCCGTTCACAAGGACCACGTCACAGTGGCTGCTGGATGCTTCACTACCGGAGGACGATTCTGATGCAACGCCCTCTCCTGACCCCTGAAGCCCTGGCGCTCCTCCTGCTGCTGAACCCTCTGGGTCCGCCTGCGGTGCATCGTCTCTCAATTCAGCCTCAGAATTAGCTGCTCCGTCCAGGTTCTCCTTGCTGTTGGAGAGGCGATGTCTGCTGCCCAACTGGGGAAGGCGCAACCGACCTGGTCTGCGGCCTCCGCTGCCGGCCTTCGGGCTGCCAGACGGGCTACTGTTCCGGCTGAGAGAGGGAGCAGACTTCCTGCTTGAAGCTGGGGAAGCTGTTGGGGAAGCAGCAGTGTTAAAGCATTAGCACTTCAATTTTCACAAAGTCTTTACTGGACACGCCGTACCTTTGGGGAGGTTGCCAAAGCCAGCGGGTGCAGAGATGGAGGACAGATTGTCTTCTCCGACCCTCAGCAGATCCTCGCTCTCACTGCGGGAGTGGAGGCAGCGATGCTCGAGGTCCCTGGGAGCCAGGAAGGCGCTGGGGTCAAAATTCTCCCGTGGAAACTTGACGATCTTTTGGGACTTGATCCAGCGACCATTCACGAACTGGAAGCGCTTCAAGTGGACAATCTACACAAGTGAACACGTGTCAGACGCCGTCTCTAAATTTATTTCACGTGAGAACGTTAAATGCTACCAACACCCACGCATCGTTTCACATAAAACACTCAGATGCACGAGTCTGCTCCTGACCAGTATGGGTGGCAGCCTCCAGAGGTCCAGCTTCTTGGTGGCCAGTCGGTGGGTCTTGCACTTGGAGCAGTAGTAGAGCTCGTCCTCTCCCAGCTCCTCCTCGCTGGTGAAAGCCTTCAGACAGCTGTCCAAGCTGATGGGCTCAGCCTGAGCTCGCCGAGACTGCTCCACACTGCAGTGCTCCTCCACAATCTGCAGGGAGAGGAGCGCGATGCATGACGGAGGATAATGGACCACGAGAGCAGACACTCGGGGAAACAGCTACCAGGTGTCGTTTTAGAGCCAAGCAAAGTGCAACTTTAATGCATCTAACAAGTTTTACTGCTCAGAAACTCATTTCTCCTAGAATTCACATAAACCACAGCACTTACCAACACAGCTCGAAGGATTCTGGACACTTTAATCTGACATTTACTGACTCAGTGACGCCTCCGTGTGGCCATACTCTGAATCACACCATATTCTGGTTTGCACAGCGATCATTACATGAGGACAACTGGACCCTGATGTAGAATTGCTAATATGACGGTGTGAAATATGAAAGCAGTGTTGCTGCGCATCACTCCTCCTGCCCCGAGGAAAGCTGGTGTTTACAAATGATGACGTTACTGACAGCGAGCAACATTTTCACAGAAATTCCATTACTGCTCTAACTCGAAGTGACTTTTTCTCTGCCTGAATTGGTGCTGTGTGTGTGGGTGCGTGCGTGCGTGCGTGCGTGCGTGCGTGCATCCTTTACCCTCTCCTGGGAGGTCTGGTAGCGGAGGTGCAGGGCAGTTGGATCCCAGTCCACAGCTATGTAAGCATTTCCTACAGAAGCTCGGTCTTCTGTGCACTCGATCGTACAGCCTCTGCAGAACCTGCAAACACACAGATGTGCAGTACAGATGTGTGAGCTTTGCTTACAGAACACGGTTACAACAAATCAAACGTCATAATCTCGCATCAAAATGTGCTACTCCCACTTTAAGCTGTATGTAAGCCTGAATTTCACAGAACTTCAGGACGATGAGGTTCGGTTTATTTTGCCACAGCTGCACTCTCACTTTAAGCACACAAAAACAACAAAACTCTGTATTTCCAGTATTGTAATTCAGCAGGAGACAGCGTGCATGGCGTCTATCTTAGATATTAGCTGCAGCATTTGCACGCTGGGGGCTGGAGGATTAGAGTTCGGCTGCGTCACACAGCTGAGCTTTTGCGTGCACCTCAGAGCTGCAGAGCGTGTGAGAAAACGGCTTTAGTCGCGAGTGTCTGTATCCGAAACGCTCTTACCTGTACCACGGACACCAGGCACACGAGTTTCCATCCTTGCCCACGACCCTCAGAGTAAAGGGGTACTGATAGCCCATGCTGTCATCACTGCAAGGTAAAGGAAGACAAAAATGTCAACAAACTTGTCAGCAAAGTTATTTTTTCCTTCCAAAATTAAATTACACTAAACAAGGGAAGTGGCACGGATCAAGCTTTAGACAGCTGATGCTGATCCGACCTGATCCTGATTGCGTAAGAGACTTCGTCCGGACAGACCTGCTGCCTCTTTTTAACAGAGGAGAGTCTGGAAGTTCGCTCAGGTTCACACTCGAGAGGGTAAATGCTTCTTCAGAATGTTACTCAACAGAATCACACGAGTGTTTCTCTAATAAAGAGATTCGTAGGAGGAAATTACCAGTCCTGGGCGTGGTTGCTGGCTTCCTGTGGGGGCAGGGGACTGGCCAGTCTGGACACCTGGATCCAGACTGCGTCGTACAGGTCCTTCTTACTGGTGTGCACAGTGCAGGGAACAATGAGCGGCATGCCGAACAGACTGGGTCGGTTCTTCTGAGACGACAGGAAGTACAACTCTGTGCGCATCTAAAGCGGGGGGCACAAACATTTACGTGTTACGTCTACAACAACCATAAAAATGACACCGCATTAGTTTTTTCTACGAGTTCTCACCATCTTCCTGTGCATAGCGATGATGTATCCAATGAAGGGGCTCTCGTGCACCGGTGTGATGTGTCCATTGGCGACCCCGTTGGTCAGAGGCGTCTCAGGGCTGCAGGGCCCACCGTTAGGGATGAGGTCTAGCTTACTGCCCACGTGCCCATTGGCAGCTGTGTTGTTGGCTATAGGTGTGATATCTGATGGAGGAGGGGAGAAAATGAGAAACGCGCAGGTAGCTCTCTGGTGAGTGCGCAGACATGTGTAAGATGACACACCTGTCAGCGTGGGCGAGCTCAGTGATGTTGGTGAACCCGGCACCGGGACCTCGAACGCACACAAGAAGCCGTTGACAGACAGACGGACCTTCTGGTTATCCTGAGGGAAGTTCTGAAAACCAAAGGTCAGCACATAAGACTGCAGCAATAAAGACGCCTACATGCAAACATTTCAGCAGAACTACCAGTTCATTACACGCCGGTTTGTGCCACACATCTAAAACCTTGGTAGGACTTTAACTCTCGTTCACGTAGACGGTGCTAAATGGCGTCTGCAGCTAGTGGTGCAACGGATCAAAACTCTCACGGTTTTAAAGTCACGGATCGGATCAATTTTCGGATCAGCAAAAATAGAAAAAAAAGACAAAAATTCTACTCGCCGTTTACTTATTCAAGTATTTTTTGCCTATTAAAAATCATTCAACTGAAGACTCATTCCAGGCACTTCTATAAAAACAAATTAAGGTGCAGTATGGACATTATGGACCAGGCTGGGCAGCCTCTGCACACGGCCATAAACAACCAGACGAGTCTGTTCAGTGACAGGTTGCTTCTCCCAACATCAAGGACCAGCAGACTTAAAAAGTCCCACACGCCAACAAACTGTTCAACTCCTCGCTGGAGGGGAGACGGGGACAGAGGAGGGGGGAACAAGTAGCTGTAGTGCCTTTTCACTGTGCAATAGTTGTTGTTAATATCCAACGGTGTAACACAATACTTAAAATGTGCCGTTCCCTTGTATTCTTATTCCTATTTATCCCTTTTGTATTCTCTGTATTTATAAATGTGTATATTTCTGCTCACATTCTGCAACTTCTGTGGGTGCTGTGCTACTGGAAACTGAATGTCCCGGAGGAACCCACCCGAGGGATAAATAAGGTTTCATCTAATCTAATGTAATCCATAGGGCAGTGCAGGGCTTTGTATCTACCACTCTGGGCAGCAAAGGGCTGCTTAAATGCCGCAAACTCCTCTGCTCCACTACTTGGACCGCTGGCGCTGACCATAACTATCGCTTGACAGACTGACCACGCGCACCATACACATACTTTTTTCCCCCCGAGTCTTCGGATCACGTGCGTACCGAACCGTGGAGTGGGATCGGTTCGGATTTCGGATCAACCGTGATCCGTTGCACCACTATCTGCAGCAGCAGCTGCGTGTTTCCATGCAGCCGTATAACAACTGGAAGACGTGCTGCAGCAGCACTCACATCCTCTGGCACTTTTTATCTTTGATCGTGTTCGACGTTTCAGCTGTTAATTCTGGAGCGCTCTCACTGCGCCGCATACGATCGCCTAAAATATCAAGATTCTTATTATGGACACAAAATACACCCCACAGAGGAAACGTAACCATGTGGACTGACAGACAAATGAGTGTTTTTAACACAAAGAGTCTCGTGTTAAAAACACTACAAGGTTAGAGTTAGTAACGTGTACGACTTTCACCAGGGTCTAAGTGTGAGTGTGTACGGTCATGGATTGAACACAGCATTACGCCCCCACCAAGAACCAACCACACCGCCTGCCACAGACGGGCCCTTTATGTCGTCCAGGAGAGCGACCACCACCCCCACCACCACAGCAACATTTCCACACACCAATGAGACAACGCGGCCAAAATGTGGCTCCGACCCACACGCTTCCATTATGCACGTACCGTGGCTTTCCTGATCGCTGCTGTCAGCACGTCTGAACCAAACTGTGAGGAACATTAACATAACGTGATCATGTCTCACTGAGGAGAGGATGAGGCCAGCAGTGTTACGAGATACGAGCATCACTCACACACTTTTGTAGTTTTTAAGTATAAATCGTAACCTAGCTGAGCGAAGACAAACAAGCAGTGACTGCAAAGGTTCGAGACAAAACGATTCAACGAATCCTTCATTTTAATGCCGTCTTCTGCTGCATGGCGCACAGATGAGAGAGGAGGCGTTTAGCGTCAGCGTGGTGCGAATACCTTGATATTAGAAGAATGGACCTCAGCCAGGAGGATCTGCTCGGGCTTCAGGCTGCACAGTTCACTCAGCTGTTTCTTCAGCCCGGTGTACTTCTCGTCCATATTCAACCTCAGGCCGTAGCGCACGGGCGTGGAGCCGTCCAGCTTGATAACTACAGACACATCGCAGCATAGCACCGTTCAGAATTTGTTCTTTAACAAAGAAATAGGTTTTAATGACCACACAGCACATTTTTATAGATCCAGCAGAGTGTGAGAGAATGAAACAGCGAAAGGTGGACCTCCTATAAGAAGGACACATTAGTGCTGCAGGGCTTCAAACAGGCTGCTGACAGAACGAGGGAAACATGGTCAGGTCTTACGTTCAGGCTGTACACAAACATTTGTGTGCCGTCACACTTCCGGCGAGGCTGCCGGACACTGGCGCCACCGGGCCCTCTGACCACCACCAGTAGGCAATGGGTGAAGTGTCTCGACACAACGACCGAGACTGTTGGAGCCGGGGCTCGAACCGGCAACCTTCCGATTACAAGACGAACTAGCCATTTCCAGCAGGATACAAGCTTAAATCATCGCAAACTGGTTTCTCAAACCTGTCATTGAGTTCAATGCACTAAAATGACCTACAGAACGACCTAATGTCAGTTTCGTGGAGCAGCTTTGTGGATGTGGTGGGAGAACAAATCTGCAGCAACGGTGTTACTCCATCATGTCAACAAGGACCAAAATCTGAGACGCTAAGAATTTTATTCTGAAGCAAAAAGGGAGTCCAGCCCAGTGCTAGCCTGTCTGCCTCCAGCTTTAACCACTAACACTGATCAGTTCTGCAGCATTAACTCTAAGCACAGTTGATTTCTGTTCATCGGCCTGCTCACCGGTGATCTCCAGATGCATGGAGCTGTCCATGGGCAGAGGCAGAGACAGGAAGTTGAAGGGATCAAAGCGAGCGCTGATGTGGCCGCAGGTCTTACACTTCACCTGAGACTTGAGCTGTCCGTGGAACAGGTCGACCACGATGGAGCGGTTCCTACGCAGGTGATTCTCCCACGCCTGAGAGTGGAGAAAGCATAGCAGACCGTCACCAGATCATACGCTGTTAATTCTGTAAATCCCAACATCAATACGGTGCCTTATCCTCCGATTCAGACAAAGAGATCGCAAAGGCTGAATGAACATCGACATCCCTCTGAAGAGGGGAGGGCTCGCTTTTCAGCTGAGACCACAAAGCCTGAGGATAGAAGTCAGAGCCGGCCTATCACCATTTCTCAGGTTTTACCCAATTTTATCATCTATCTCCCAACAGAGTTAGCTGAAATAGTTCAGCTACAGTTATTGTACCGTTATAAGAACATTACTAGTTAATGCCACTTTAACAACACGGGGAAGTCCTTCTCTCTGAAGACATCCTTTCTTTCTTTTTCTTGGTTGTGGTAACAAATAACTAAACAGCAACAGATAAAATGTGATTTGTGCCCCTGCAGACACCTACAGTTTCAGAAAAATTAATAAATAGTATAAAAAAAGACAGTAAATATGATTTGAAGTGAGTAGAAGTGAGGACAATGAGTGTTTTAGCATAAAGGGATTGTTTTCATACCTTTCTTATTGTTTTTGAAAAGCAGCCCCTGCCCATCACACTCCCACCATCTGTCTGACTGTTGCTGTCATGTTCTTTATTAGAAAACGCTGTGTCTGTTATACACCACATGTAACACAACCCAAACCTATGGGCTCAAAATGTGGTCATAAATATTTTGTACTTGTAAAAAAGATTTGTGTGTGGACTTAGAAAAAAACCCTGCAAGTTACAAGTAAGAATTCTGACCCTATTTTTCTTCCTTTAAGCTGATTGGTCAATGTCATGTCAATCACAAATGTAACAATCCAATCAGAGAACAGATGGGTTTGGCTGTCGAGGGGCGCTTTTTTGAACTGCAGGTCCTTGAAGGGAATAAATGCCCTTTTACATGCCAACCCAGCGTTTTCCTTCATCACCACGAAGGAAAACAGTCTGTGGTCGTCCGAGTTTGGAGATTTTTGTGTCACAGGTCTACGTGTTTAATACAGGGACTTCCACAGCCTTTTCAACAGCGCTGCGGACGCAGGAGGGGGGGCAGTGTTTTGGAAATGACAGTCTTCATCACAAAGCTTTCTTCGTTATGAATTAGCATACATGTTTTTATTGAACATTTGAAGAACTAGCAAAAAAACCCAGAAACTCTTGTAGTTCACATAAAGTCAGAGATAGAAAAGACAAGGAGCAGGTGCATCTAGTACAGGCAGAGCTGCTGCACACAGAGCTCAGCAGCCAGCAACAAATTCTGGATCCTTTGCTTTTAGTTAGCAGTTAGCATTAGCAGCACATCCTGCGTCCGATGTGAAAGGACCTTTATGCTGCGCACTGTGACTCACAGCAATGGTCCCGGGTCAGCCCTGACTTTGTGTTAGACTAATCCTAAAGTAATAATGTATTTATAACCACTGATATACCACAACTTTATCCTTTCAACAGCTGCTGAAAGTTAGCGGACCTAGCTGCTATCAGATATTTATATAGAGATCCTCCAGCTTCAAACTGTATCACCCTTCAAGGACCTGCAGTTCAAAAAAGCGCCCCTCCGACAGCCAAACCCATCTGTTCTCTGATTGGATTGTTACATTTGTGATTGACATGACATTGACCAATCAGCTTAAAGGAAGAAAAATAGGGTCAAAATTCGTACTTGTAACTTGCAGGGTGTTTTTGGGCTAAGTCCACACACAAACCTTTTTTTACACGTACAAATCCTGATTTACGAGTACAAAATATTTATGACCACATTTTGAGCCCATACAAACCTTCCAGAAAGTTCAACTTTTGTCTCGTCAGTCCATTTTCCCAGAAGCCATCATCAGCATGTTTTTGGCTAAATGTGAGACGAGCCTTTGTGCTCTCTTTGGTTTGCGTCATCTCATTAAAAACTAAAATGCCAGGAGGGATTTCTTTAAACACAGATGCCATTTTTCCTCAATCTCTCCCTCATTGTTGAATCGTGAACTCTGAACTGCAGTTCTTTGTTGTTCTGGTGTGTTGGTGACCTCCTGGATGAGTCTCAGCCTGGCTGATCCTGGAAGGTTCACCGCTGTTCCAAGTTTTCCCATTTGTGGATAATTACTGTCACTGGAGTCCCAAAGCCTTACAACTTACTTTGTCATCCTTTCCTCAATGAAAGGTGTCAGTGACCTTGTTTCTCATCAGTTTCTTTAGATTGTTGCTTTTTAGGCTGGAAGATTTTCCAGAGGTTCTATTAAGGTGACAACAGGACTTATAGCAACCAGTTAATTAAAAATATAACAGTTGGCAGCTTTTCCCATAATAACAGATGAAGTCAACATTTAAAAACTGCATTTTGTATTTGCTTCACTTCTCTTTGTCTAATAATAAAAATGATTTTGTGATCTAAAAACAGCAAACATGCAAAAACAGAAATCAGCAAATGTAACCAACAATAAGCAGCGTTGGGGAGTAATGGAGTACATGTACCAGCGTTATTCAAAATACAAAACACGAGTAACTGTATTCTCTTACAGTTACCGTTTTAAAAGGCTGTATTCACAATACAGTTACTTTGTTGAAATAAAGGGATTACTCTGCGTCTTTTCCTGTTTCATACGTTAGGCTGCCCCCTCTCTATTTCTTCATAATTCCACGCCGGTGGAAACCCAAACACGCGAGGCTCAATCTCACGGCTCATAATGACGTGAAGGAATATTTTTTAATTATTGTTCAAAAAATGATTTCATATGAAGGCAACAGGCAGAGTGTTACAGCCCAGCTGTAAGTAAGCTGTTAAGACTCGACTGTGCTCGTGTTTTCCTCCCAAACAATAAGTTCCCTTTCAACGCCGCTCTCTGTCTCTCGCTAGCAAAGTCGACCCAGACAACAAAGTAAAGCTAGTTTTCAGCTACGAGCCCGACACGAACCCGACGTATCAGCCAGAGGTCCCTTTACTACGGTTCGGAGCCGCAGACCTGTTTTATATACACGAGGAATAGTTTTCTACATGAGATCGCTGCAAAAAGTGCAGCCTTACCTAATGTCCACCTACTGTTACTCATTTATATCAAGGTTTAAACATCTAGTTGCTATTGGTGTGGAGAGTAACCTTCAGTAACAGTAATAAATCACACAGCAATAGGACATTCATGTAGTTGTAAAAAGCATGATAATATATTAAGTAATCCAAAGTATTAAGAATAGTTACTGTCACTGAGTAACGTAACAGAATACGTTACAAAATACATTTTGGGGCATGTAATCTGTAATCTGTAGTGGAATACATTTGAAAAGTAACCTGACAATAACTTAACATACAACAATAATGTAACCAGTGTCTGAGCAGAAGCTTCCTGTTAAATATGCACGTGAGAGAGCAGCAGTGGACAGCTGTGATCAGCCTTTTCCACTGAAGGAAACATGCAGCCTGATGAATACCAGGTAAGCTGTGGGTTGCAAGAACGCCCTCATTTTGTTGCAATTTCTGGAAAAAAAAAAACGCGTCTCCTGTCCTTAAATCTCAGGGTGCTACGAAACAACACTGACGCCATATTTGGCAACTTCCAAACGTTAGCCGAGATCACCTGCAGCGAGGCTGCGGGGCTCCGATTGTCCTGCAACATTACGCCACAGGGACACATACGGACTCAGTATTTCACTCAGTGCTGTAACGTTCTTATGAACATGATCACTCTTTTGCATTCACTCGTATGAAGCTCTCAGCTTTTACTTGTACAGTGAGTTAAGCACAGCCGGCTTCCCTGACAGGAGTGTTTGTTCATCTTTAGAGTTTGAACTCAATCGCTCGAGCAAAGATCCTGGAAGTCTCAACACAATTTACCCGGTTGAAGGCTATAGCTCACCTGGCTGTGCAGGTGAGGCTACTGCAGAGGTGTGGCTTAAAATCCCGCCCAGATCATTACCGACCAACCTTTGCTGCTACGTCTAATTAAAGGTTCTCTCTCTTTTGCTTGTTTTTATATTTATTATCTAGCATTTGAATTAAAGCTCAGGGACTCCCCCGTTACAGTGTAATTACCTGAAATGTTTAAAATGATAATCCAGATGTTTATTATCTTATCAACCAAAATAACTTATTCTTGCTCCGATTAATCAGCAGTGTGAACTCTGACCTCAGAGGCCACCTCCCAGTCTGGCCGACCATCGCTGTCCTTCAGCTCCACGTACGGCTTCTCGTGGACTCTGTTCAGGTCTTCGTGGAGGCCGTCCAGGAGGAAGGCCAGCAGCTCCTGAGAGTCCTGCTGCTGGAAGCCATTGAAACGGGGGGCGTACTTTGCTATCGTCCACTAAAGCAATGAATCATAAACTCTGATTAGAACATAAGCACGACAAAACATAGCTGAGCCAAAAATATCATACTAGCGAAGACAGTCCCACACTATCACTTTAATATTCTGTGGCCTCCTGCACCCGCCTGCACATGAAACTCTTTTTGTGACTAATATATGGGAAATGCTGCAACTTCTCACCCTGAGTTTGAGTGGAGCTACATTCTTCTGTGTCCCACTCCACAGCTCCATCACCAGGTCGCCGTAACACTTGGCCATGTGACCTCGCATCCCAATAGGATTGGTTCTATTGATACACCAAAAACAAAAGTTAGTTAAAATGAAAATGTTTGTTTTTCCCCTCATTGTTGTTTTGTATTCATTATGAACAGTTGGTTTTCTGTTTTTCTTTAAACTAGATCCACAAATACTCAATAAAATATTTTGAATAAAAGGCACCTGTTGAGCTCGTAGAGGTGTCTCCCTGAGAGGAAGTAGTCTGTGAGAGGCTTGGTGTTGCTCACACACTGGATGCTCGAGTTCATGAAGCAGGTGTTGCCAAGGTTACTGAGGCCAGTCGCCCCTTTCTCTGTGGGAACTGTGTTGGGATACAAAGACGTGCTGTTCAGATGCTAAAATGCTTAACTGAAGAAAAATGAGTCATACATACATTCAATATGTTTTTTACATATGAGAATTTATGCTGGAGAATAAAGGACATGAGGCCAAACTGTCCTTGAACGCTTAGACAGGAGTCCTCAAAAAACAAACACCTAAACAAAGAAACAAAAACCTTTGAACTCCAAGTACTTTTGCTTTACTTCAAAACAAACTTTATACAAATTGTAAAAATGGATCAAAGGGTTAAAAACATCCTTTTTTCCTCTTTAGACATAATTCTGTATAATTATTATTATTAAAATGTATTTAGTGCTATAATCTGCACTGGTCATAGTTACTTCTTGGATTTTGGAGTTCAACATTTTCCAGAGCTCGGGCGCCGCTTTAGCTCACTAGACCAAGCAACCATATTGTGGTGGATTTTTGTGTGATGTGTATAACTATGTAACTATATACACTATATATCTATGTGCTCTGAACATATATATTTTAACTTTAATGTAGAGTCTTAAGCACAAGACATTTTGCTTCACAGAGGTTATTAAGGTTTTACAGTAACAGGGCAGTCGATGCTGTTGAGAGTTCGCCTGAATAACTCTCCAGCTCCGGTAACCAACCTTCACTAATACTCACCATCTTTCATGCAGCACAACCAAAACAGTAACATTGTAACAGAGATCCTGAACACATCACGATAAAATATCCTATGATATAATCTCACACACACACA